AGTTATCCAAGCAAAACAGCTCACACTCCTCAGCACTGGCAGCCGCCGTCGCGTGGGGATCATCGGGCAGTCGGGTGCTCGAGACAGCCAAGAACCAGTCCTTGGTCCCATCATCTGAGCCATAGTTGCCGCACTGCAATGGGGTGTTTCTTGCACATCCCTGGCTTCGATCGCCCAATTTCCAGTCACCGGGAGACTTCTCGCCGAACCCTTCAACGCAGTTGCAGAACGGCAAGCCATTCTCGTTGCAGCTGCCGAAAGGCCCACAGACAGCGAAGACATCGCACTGCTGCTTGGGCAGAGACAAGAACTGGATCCAGTCCTGGATTGCTTCCACCCAAGCAAGCTGCTTGAGCTGGCCGGAGACATCTATTACAGTTCTGGTAATCATATCACCCTTGAGTTGGTAGACGAAGTAGTTCGTGGTGGAGTTGGAGAAGAACTCGACAGAAACGTTGACGACGGTCGGGTTCTCGCGGTAGGCCGTCATCTCCGGGATCGAGCTAAAGAAGTGGCCGTTCCAAGGCCCTGTGCTCCAGTACTGCTCAGACATGTTCCAAAGCAAAATGACTTGGCGTATACCGGTGGGATCCAACTCCAAGGAGAAGAGTCCAGCAGCAGGATCATCGGAGTTCCTCCATGAAGTGAGGACGTGGCCCTTCCGGGTCACCTTGTTCAGAACAAACTCTGCCCCAGGGAGCCATGTATCGGTCGGGTGATCAAAGCTCTGCCAGTGGAGCTTGGATGGATCCGACCGGTCTCTCAAAACCAGGTTTCCAGAGTCCAAGATCTCAGCAACCGTGGAGTTGGAGGCCATGGAGGTGATGTTAGTGGACCAGAGTACCTGTGTACGAGACTGGCTGAGGAGGACTAAGTTGCCATCATCGGAGATCTTGAGCTGCGCTGCAGCCGGGTCAGGTATGGGAGTGTCTCTGTTTGCCACCCAGATGGAAGTAAGCTTTGGTACCTTGTTGAACCAGATGCCGATGTAGTATCTGTTGGGGGTCCCTTTACCAGATTGGAAAAAGCCTAGCGCGAAGTCACCACCTGCGGAGGTGATGGTCTGGTTTCCAGAGAGAGAGTAATTGGAAGAGATATAATTGACTGCAGAGGAGGGAATGACACTGAAGCAGATGAAGATGAAGAAGAGGAGGGTGGAGGAGAAGTTTGGGCAGCGAGAATACAGGGAGAGATCGCCTTGAGTAGCCATGAGAGAGATAATACAGAGAAGGAAATGCTTGTTTATTCTTTTGAACATACAAGAGAGAGAGAGAGAGAGAGAGAGGCTGCTTAAAACATGGGAATTTGGAGAAGAGAGCATCATCGGTCAATGTTTGTGCTTAGCAAGGAACAGTGCGGAACTTCGGTGTGATAAGGTGTGTAAGAAGAAAGATGGAGCCGTGTAGAAGCCTACGTTTCGGCTGCCTATACTTTTCAGACGAAAAGAAACATTTTACGCTCTCATTACTTTTGGTTTCACACTCATCAAAGATTAGTAAATAATAAAAAGAGATTAGTAAGATATACTATCATAGGACGCACGAGTGTCCATATGATATCAATAAGATATTTGTATGTGCAATAATATATATATATAGAGAGAGAGAGAGAGAGAGAGAGAGAGGTTAGTTATGCTGAAGAAAACACACACATCAACTGATTATGATGGATGGATGGTACTTAAATGTTGGTTAACGCTTCACCACAATCGACCGATGGAATATCGGTCAACAAACATTAGTCATTTTTCAGTCATAGATGGCCTGACAGTATCCTCCAGCCGTATCATGTTAGACTCATATGGTGATTCTGTTTCCACCGCTTCCAACTTTCTCCCTCTCGCTTTATAATATAATATAATATAATATTGTGCTGAGATGGTGGGTCCCAGAGATGTATGACTCATGAGCTACTTCCTGCCGCTACCTACCTACGTGTCTGCTTCAACGCGTGTCAGATTGGATGGGAAAGGCAACGCGGTGGCTGGGTTGGATTTTTTTTTTTTCATTCTTATCCTTAGTGCAATTTTTTTAGTTTATTTTTTTTTTTCAAATAATATGAAATAATAAAAGAATAATATGCTAACCCGAGAATTTGTTAGTGAAAATCATCTATTAAGAGATTAATTATATTTTTTATAATTAATTATTTTTAATATTTCGATTTTTATATATTTTTAAAATTATATTAAGATTTTTATATAATATAAAATATTTAATTATATATTTTTTAATTCTACGAAAATACCATGCCTACTGATAAATCGAAATAAGACAGAATCAATAAGTAATAAACTCTATAATATTTTCATCAGTAAAATCAACGAAATACGAAGAAACATGATTAATTATTTTACTTTTATACATATAGGGATCCTAAATAATTTTTAAAAATATAATGATCGGGATACTAAATCTAACTAATTATAATGAGTAATATATAATTAACCTCTTGGGGCTTGAGCTAATTATATATTATTCTTATCTAATTAATTATTTTTAGTATATTTAAATTTTATATTTTTAAAAATTATATTGAAATATCTGTATTTATGAAAGTGAAATATTTAATCATATTTCTTTTCACGTCGTCGATTTTGTTAACAAAAATAATTTATCACTAAGTATGTATTATATTTTTATTAGTAAAATCGATAATATAAAAAAATAAAATAAAATATTTTATTTTATATTTATAAAAATCTTAATATAATTTTTTGATAGTATAGGAACTAAAATACTGACCATAATCAATTACAAAGAATGATCTATAATTAATTCTAATATATTTTCTGTCGATTTTTTTAGATTAATATGATTATCTTATAGATATCATAACAATCCGAGTACATGATAGGATAAGCTATAGCATCTCCATAGGATCGAATTTGTACCTTTTTTTTGTCCCATGTGACTTGGTAGGTTAGTCATTTTTATTCTTAACTATAATCATTTTAGATTCTATCATAATCCGTTCTAACGAAGCACCACAGAGGATTCAAAATCCCACCTCATCATCGTAACAAGCACCAAAGAGGAGGAGAAAAAGAAAAGCACTGCCGCTTTCCCCATCAAGATTTCCTCTCCCGTCTCTCTCTCTCTCTCTCTCTCTCTCATCATCGGCTCTCCTTAGGTGCGTCTACCTATTGCGTTCTTAAATCAAATCATGACTTAAGTCGGAACTCTCTCCCCTGTCGGCGGGGGAATGCCAGCCACGGATCCAAGTGGAAGGCACGTGAAGGATGATAAACTTGCGACGATCATAAAATTGGAATCTATTTGGTGGGTAGGAAGCCACCTTCTTCTGGTGGCATTTATTTGTGTGGCTTCATATCAATTTATTGACCGGTCCCCAACATGTCACATCAATTAAAGGAACTCGTTAACGCCATCAATTCACATAAATAAATTTGGTAATTGAAAAGCGAGCGTATGCGTGCTTGCCGATGTAACAGCTGAACTCCACTTGTTTTGCAACAAAAATGAGGTTATTTGAGATAATCAGTTACATTGAACGAAAAAATATAACATGCGATAACAATCGATGTGAAAGCGATGTTAAAAGAAAATATTTTCAATATTTTCTTTTTATTAATTAAAAAATAATTTTTATCTTTTTACATATCATTTTTATATCGATCCAACACATAATATCGCATATTATATTTTACGATAATAGTATGGTTAATGGTATTGTTTATTTCACTTATAGAATTATAGGAATCTTAATATAAATTTTTAGGTATAAAAATTATAATAAGAATAATGTATAATTAGTCGAGTTATTTTGACTTATCAATTATAAATTTTTTATTTTAAAATTTTATATATTTTTAAAAGCCATTGATTTCCATATTTCTTTCTCTATATTTGAGTGTGACAGAAACCTAACAATTTCTCTTGATATGTCATTATAGTTGGTCTATGTTAAACGGTATGTTATATGGTAGACGAAATTCTAAATTACAGTAGTGTCCTCGATGTTAAAATTATCAAGAATATATTATATACCTTTAACATTTTTAATATAGACAAATAATTTCAATTATGTTTACAAGTGATCAGTTTTAAGTTTTTCTAGATGACTATTAAATTTAATGACATAAGTTAAGAATGTTAATATTTCAGGAGGAGGAGGAAAAGAAAGAAGAAGGTAAAAACAGTAAATAAGGGGAAGAAGAAATTATCTATGAGATAGAAGATTGAACAATCCCAGCCGTTCGATTTTCTCTGGCTTATTCCTTCTATTTTACATTCAAACACACCAACCACAAAAATAATTTTACAAAATAAAAGCATATTTGTCCATTTATTAAAAAACACTTGAGTAAATTCATAATATATTTTTTTAAAATGGAGAATTTTCAGGATTTTTTTTCTGTATATTTTTATATTTTAAATATAGATAAATAATTACTGTGATTAGAAATGATTCGTTTAAGTTTTCTTGACGATCTTAATATTCGAATATATATATATATATATATATATATATATATATATCTTCAAATTGATGAATTAGAACGGCTAACACATAAACACGAATAATTTGTTCGGATTACTTTTCCTAATAATGCGACCCGTTTACGCCCCCGCTTCGTCGGCCTCGAAAACATGGCGTGGTTTGCCGCAATATCGCCCTGAATCCCAATTCGGAATAGTGCTTTAAAAGCTATTCGATGGCGTCTTGGAGTTGGCTGAGCAACGAAACGGGGGAGGGATTTGGTTGATTGGGTGATCAAGAAAAGAGGAGGCTAAATCGCTTCTCCCACCAAAATTTTAGGTAAATTCATCGAGATTCCTTCTTTGTGCTTTGGAATCCATCGAGATTTCCGCTTCTGATTTTAGACTGTTAGTTCCAGTGCAGTAAAAGTGGTTGTTCTGTTCTTGATGCTCTTCATTGATTACATATTCCAAATTTCCCACAAGAAATTGATTGCATTTGAACTTGTTACTTTGGTCCCAGACATTTGGCGTTTACTATTCTCATGCTTGACTGCTCAATGGAACCAAGAGAAATATATAAGGGATGGTAAATTGTTGAATCTACATTAACAAGTCATCCAATCTGATCTTTAAATGTGATTCCTTTCTGCGCAAGCGTGTCATTCTTTTCTAGAACGTGTTTGAACCACTGAACTGAGGCTTTCGGTATCCTAGTTAGGTTGCTCTTGTAGTCGACATAGTAGAGGCCAAATCGAACTGTAAACCCTGAGTTCCATTCCCAATTATCTAGTAGCGACCACACGAAGTAGCCATGTACATTGCAACCGTCCTCCCTGCATTAATTCATCTTAGTTAATTGTAGGAAAAAAAGTAATGGAGCTGAAGATTGTTATGCTGATCCTGACACCCTCAGGTGAACTAATGCACAGTAAATTACCATATAGCAGCTTGCAGGTTTGAGAGGTAGTCAGCATGATAGCGTATCCGCTTATCATCCTTCAGTGCTTTGTCGAGGGTAGTGAAATTTGGATCATCCATGCCTACAACACCAAATGTTTCTTGTAAGATTTCTCGAAAAGGAGAGCTATATTCCTGATTCAATCACTTTGTTTGTACCATTCTCTGTTATTATAACCAATGGGTTCGCATAGTTTTCCTTGATATAATTCATTGACTTGCGGATACCCCATGGGACAATGTGAAGCCATCCTGATGCAGCCTGAAAGAATAATTAAGTGATGATTCCTAAACCTGAGCATTAGTTCAAAAGTGATTAGAAGCATAAGTATTGTGACTTACTCTTTCACCAATCCTCTCTCCATTTCGAGAAGCTGTTACAAACATTATAGAAGTTTAAATTCCATATCGCTGAAGATTAATTAAGTATTTTAGTGACTCTATCATACATGTCGTGATGACAAGTGCATCAGCTAATGCATCATTCAGTACCAGCTTCCTGATTCTTGTCCGATCATTCCGAGCATATAATGTGGTGTAGTGATTTATGCCTAAAAAATCCAAAGAACCAGCCAATGACGTAGAGTCATCACTAGTAAATCTGGGTAGTCTGCTTCGTACAAGATTCTTCATGGAGAGAGGATAATCCCCAAAGATAAGAGGATTCAAGAACCTGCTTGGGGATCCACAGTCACCGTAAGTTGTCAATCAATGAAGTAGGGTTCTCATATATTCAGAAATCAGTAGCAGATTACCATCCTAGTTCGAATTCCATGGCTCTATTAGCAGCATCTAGGTCTTCTTTAGCACCAGATATAGGTTCATACCACTTGGAATCAAGAGCAATTCCAATAACACCCTTTTGCTTTTCCTACACATTAAAGTTAGCTTCTTATCTTGCTTTTTCTTATTCATTGACCAGTAATAAAAAGTTGGCTGCGACAAGAAAAGCATGGTTTACCTTGAAGTTGAGCTTGTATGTATGAAAAGCAGCAGCGTGAGATAATAGGATGTTGTGAGCAACAATATATGGTTCAATTGATGACTTGCCTCTCCGACATAGCATGTGTATTAGAATAGAACACCTTCCCGGAGCTTGCAGACCTGTGTCATATCCTTGAATTGAGAATCCATGAGGCTCGTTGAAGGTGATCCAATGCTTCACTCTATCTCCAAATGCTTTGAAACAAGTATAGGCGTAATGCTTGAAATCTTGTCTGCATTTTAGAGTGAGTTTTACCTATCTTTTCCTGAACACTGTGGCCGATTAAATAAAGATTCGATATAATCCTTACATGATCTCTTGGCTCAGCCATCCGTTGTATCGGTCCTCTAGAGCTTGTGGAAGATCCCAGTGGAAGAGTGTAACATAAGGTTGTATTCCTGTAACAACAACAAAATAATAATAATAGTTATCAGCCTCAAAACTTCAGGAGATCCTTCAAAGAACCTTTTTAAAAGCTACCTTTTTGTAGTAGAGTGTCTATGAGTCTGTTATAGTAGCTTATTCCTTCTTGATTAGGTTCTCCTGTTCCATCTGTGAACAGGAAAGGCTGTTATTTTATCCAAGATAGGGTTTAAATATGTCTAGTACCAATAGGCCAGCTTCATATTACTTGGGAAGATCCGTGACCATGAGATAGAGAACCTGTAGGCATCCATTCCCATGCCCTTCATCAAATCCACGTCGCTCTGTACAAAAAGAATAATATATCTTGCTATTATGAAATGATATGGGTAATATATTTACTGAAGTTGGTCACCATTCTGCCTATGAAGAAAAGAAACAAGGCTTTTGTGTTAAGAATACTAACAAGACAATATTAACATGTGAGCGAAATCTCTGATTTTGCTGTAAGCTACTAGTTAACGGTATTAGAGCGGATGGTTATTCTAGGCATCCAGTGCAAGAACCAAAATCTTATCTAAAAGTCCAAGAGTGTGAAGCAATCAAGTGCATGAAAAGTGATGGGAGACATTGACATTTTAAAATTGACAAGAAATCTAAATCAAATTATTCAGGTTTGATGCACATGAGATTGAACGTCAATGCAAAACTTATCAAGTTATGAACCAAATCCAATGTATATTAGTTGACTCTTTCAACTTTAACAATATGAGATTATTCTTTAAGTCCTCTTTCAATCTCTTTCATAAATATTGTCTTAGCATCCCCTTTTATTCATGGGTGTCTTAATTGTCTTCTACTTATTTGTAAGGATAGGTCATATTTCATGTAGACTTTTTTTTCACTTGAGTGCAACTTCATGTGTGGCTTAATTGTCTTCTACTTATAAGGATAGGTTATTTTGTGTGTAGACGTTTTTTTCGCTTGGGTGCAACCATATCTAGTTGCTTCTCTTTTTTTTCAGTCGTTTATTATTATTATTTTGATAAATCTTAACTTTGATACCATACTCAGATTTTTTCGGTCATGGCTCAGATTTTTTTAGTCATGGCTAATGTACATGAGTTCGGAGACCAATACAATTACAAAACTTAAACTTACTAAGTTATGGATCAAACTCATTATATGTCATTTGACTCTTTTAGTCCTTAGCAACATGGGACTATTCTCACGTGAAGCCTGCTTGAGACCATGGATTGGTTTACGAAGCTCACAAACATGGTTGGAAAAATTTTGATCAACAAATACTTTGAGTTAATCATGTAGACTTCCATCTGAAGGTGTCTCAAAAGAAAAAGGAAGGAGCTAGGAAAGAAGAGAGTCAAGAAAGTTAATGCCACTATTCTTGAACAACTTTTAGCCGGGCGTTCTTTTCATTAATCTTCCTTCAATCTCTCTAACACATGAATATTGTCTTGACAAAGCATTAAATGATTACATATGTGCTTTATGGTGGTGATGACAAAAGCCTGATGGTTTTCGATTTGTTGTGTTTGGGCAAATTTTAGATTATTTTACACAATGCAGTATTTTACAGTTTTTTAGATAATCTTGAACTTTTGTGTCTCATGAGATCTTCCAAAATGAATTGGTTGAGTGAAACAGAAGTTTTGAGTTTGCTACGAGAACGGCCATCAGTCATATGATTTTTGAAGTTTAAAAAAAAAGGAGACTAAGGTTAAGGCAGAACTTTTATTGCAAAAAGTTCACCTTTGATTTGCAATAAAAGGTTTCTGATCCAAAAGCATAAAAAGCCTTAACATTTTTAGATGAGATTTTCAAGACACTCAAATGATCAACTAAGAATTTTGCCTATGATGAGGTTTTGATCCAAGAGGGAACATGTCAGTTCTCTTGACAACAGAATTTGCTCATTAAATACTAACAGTTCTTGAGTGGAGACCCACCCTACAGAGAAATAAATCATGTAACTGAGAGGCATTTTTAAGATAAAATAGCTACAGGACAAGTTGATAAGTGAAAACTTCCCTTCGCTTATCTATGTCCACAGAAATTGATCAGGAGAATGGTATTTGATGATGTTAGTTCCCTATTTGAGTGCTCAGCTTATTTTTGCACCTCTTTCATCTTTTTTTCCCCTTAGTTTACTTTTGAACCTTTTTTGTTGATTTTATTTTATTTTCTAAGTGTTATGGTTGATTTAGAGACTGAACTTTCAGCCTTAAAGTATAAACAAGTGTTGTGGCTCAACCAACTAATATAGGTACTAGTAGGATAGGTTTCTGCTAGCTCGAGTACAATTAAATGCTCTTCCACACGATTACCGTTGACTAAATAGTATGTCCTAACAATGTCAGAAAAATCAAATCTTCTTCTTATGTAAATAGGGAAATTAATTATCGTGCATCTTTCAGATGTTTAACTTTCTGGATCATAAGATTATCGGCCATGGAATCCATCAAGTTCCACCTTGACTATGCATTGACTCTTATGGACTTATGAGAAGAATGCAGCATCTTAGACTTGAACACTATCTATGAGATAAAAAATAGTCTTCTGGTACATATCAGCAAGAACAATGCTTCTTTTGTGGTAAGGCAATCTTTTACGAGTTATCTTTCATTTGCACCAATCTTACTTTCAGTATTTAGCTATTGGATTAAACAGTGCATGATCTAAAAGCTACTGATGATCCCTTAAGAGTCCATGAAGAAGGGGACTTTTTTCTATTTCAGAACCACTAGGAGTTGCTCTTGACAATAAAAAACAAAATAAATTTAAAATTCATGCAAAACTCGAGCTAATCAAAGTATATCGTGTTGGTAAGTCATCAAATGTACAAATAAATTGGAAATAACATGTAGGCCACGGATGACTCGATTCAATATGTGTCTCTTAATTAGGACTTTTCTTATAAGATGGTCATGTTGAGATTTGAACTATGGATCTTTAACTTTGATCATTGATACCATTTTAAATTTTAATCAATGTCATTCCATCTAAAATCTTATGCTTGTAGATGGGACATGATCTAATGATCTATATTTTTAACAGAATCTAACATGGAACATCCACAGATGACTACTCATGAATGATCTGAGTATTCCAGAGTTCACCTTGTACCGATGGTACTGATCGACTGCCACATCTGCATTGCTGAAGTCCAAAATCCTCCCTGCCAAAAACACTTTCAAGCTTACGAAACAGAATTCAGAATATGAGTGCTTTTGTCTCTCTCAACGCAAGTCATACCTGGTCGTCTTGTGAAAGTATCCCATATACTTTTTCCCCTGTTCCCCTCACCAGCAGCTCCTTCAAACTAAGGTTATCAGCAACTCCATTAACTTGTGCAGAGCAAGATGCAGCTGAATGTAAAAGAGACATTTCTGCATGACCTCACACCTGGTAAGCTGAAGAAGCTGTTCCGAAAACGAAACCACTGGGGAAGTCATCTCTTCTGATAGCCTCACTGGTTGCAACGATACTAACAAGGATATAGAGTATTGCTAACGCTGTCATGGACTTGCTAAGCTTGGGAAGCTTGTGTGTTATGCTGTTTCTTGCAGGTGCATAGTATTTATGCATTTAGTATTAAAGAGGTGCAGGTGGAACAATGTGTTTTGGAGATTGAATGTTTGACGAAGCAAAACTTTTGTTGGAGTGACGAGTCTGCCATACCGAATCGTACCGCCCGGTACGGGCGGTACGGTCCGATAGGCTAACGGCACTGCTACAGTGTAACGCTACCGGTCCGACTGTAGCAGTGCACTGTATCAGTACAGTGCACTGGAACGTTACGGTTACTGTTGCAGTGCGAGCTCGACGTTGTTGTTGTACATGAAAACACACTGAACACGTTCTTTGCGCAGGTGATCGAGCACAACATGAAAACACACCGAAGACGTGCCTCTTCCGCATCAACCTCCAACATCTTTTGGGCATATGATGGACATGGCGATGTATGTCCAGGTTAGACTAATATATTATTATTATTATTATTATTATTATTTTGGAGCAAATGCTAAATTGAGTCGAATCCGGATTTTTAAGAAAGAATGGCTAAATCCACCGTACGCAAGCACAATGCATCACATCAGAATCTTGTTTCGTGCACCAAACTTGTCTTTTAATATTTATTCGGGTCTGAGACGTCTCTTTCTATATCACACCTGCCTCTGACGTGTGCAGTTCACCGATAAGGTCGACATGACCTGAGGTGTAAGGAAGATGTGTCAAGGAACATGCCACATCTTTCCTTTGGTTTAAACGAGCTTAATTTCCCCGTAACACACGTGCTTTCATAAGTATTATACCATAAAATTTTCTTCTCTCCTTTTCTCTTTCCTTTTTATTATTCTCTTCTCTGTTTTGCATGAGTTTTTAGTCCCACAAGTAGGATGTTTGCCTTCCCTTCACAGACTCTTTGGGGCTTGAATGGGCGGGCAAGAAAGTCTTAAGGGTGCGACCTTAAACTTATTAAGTCCCATCGATTAATCTATCTTGGAGCCGTGAATATTTTAGTGATTGAGACTATTAAAGCCCCAATCATGTAATCATTGGACCTCTATACGAAGAGTATTTAGGCCCTCTTGTTTATGTAGTCAGTCGCTACCAACAAAGTCTAGAAAAAGCAGAAGGCGTATTTATTTGTCTTCATGTTCGTTCATGATGTTTTGTGGTTAGATAAGAGGGGGCCTCAGTTCTGTTTTGTGGTTGGAATTGCTTTGGCGTCTTTGGGTTTTATTTTTCTAAACCTTTTTTTTTTAATTTTAAATGAAATTTATTATTTTTTAACCAAAATCCTGGTTAGATTTTGTTTTAATATTATAGTGCAGATAAGCCTTCGTGGAAGGGTGTAAGAGGCAATTTGACTGCTGACCTTGTAAACAACATAGAATACATGTGTTGCGTCTTGAAGAAGTCCAACACAATGAATGGGGGTCCCTGTGGGATTGGATGTTTGACGAAGCAAAGCCAACCTAACTTGTTGTAAAAGATGGCTGCATATAAATAAATGAATGTTAAGAAGGCAAGTCTATGTTCATCACATTGTTAAAGAAAAGGCATGCCTTTCATGTGTTCTTGTTGCTATGTAAGCGTTAGGGAAGTCAGGAATTGTTGGGGGTACGTTAGGGAGTACGTCGAGTGCATGCTTGCACGCAAGGACTGGACCAAGAGAGGGATGTGGAATTGCAGAGAGAGATTTTTAGAGGATTTCAATTTCTTAGCTTGGTGAGTATCAATTTTATTAAACCCTCCAACTGTTTTAGATAAATGTTGTATTAGAAGAATAAAAATATTAGATTTGAGGTCGTAGGAATTGTTTATTTTGGATGGACTTTTTATCCATTATAGATGGCCCCAAAGGACAAATATAAAAATATTAGCTTTTCTGCTTTTCAATCGATATATGAGATTAACTTATTGGGACCTTCCAGTTGGAAGAAATAGACTCCGTTAGAAAATGCGAGGAGGGGTGCCTATTTGATCTATTTGGCCTAACACACCATTTAATGGCTTATCCTCGATAGCTCACTTGCTTTTCTGAAATATTCGATAGTGTTTCTTTTTTTTGGCACATGAACTTGTCAAATTGAACACGAAAAGGCAACTCTTCCTTGGTCAATGTGATATTATTAGTGCCTCCTAAGTTAGCCTTCTTATACATCAGTATGTTAGGTGAAGTTGTGTTCATGGCATATCATTACTTTTAGCATTACTCTAGTGATTACGGCACTGCTTGTGAGAACTTACATTTGTATATACTCCATTTAGCAATACCCGCTATTCTCCATCTACGTACTAATCTACTGCTTGAGAGATCTTTTAGTTGTATTAATATGGATGGCATCTCTAATTTAAGGTAAAAGCCACTCCTAACCATAAAATTATGATTATTTTGGTTTGACCTGACTATAAGTGAAATTTGATTTGGAAATGATTTGTCAGTTTCGTCTTACCCATTCATAAAACAACTAGAAAAGATTGTTTCCAGAGGTGGTATGCATTGATGTAACATTCTATTGCTGATATTTTATCTATATTAAATATATATTTGATGAGGTTATCGAATCATGTATAAGTCATCCGTCACGGTGACGAATGAAAACAATTGGATTCCTTTTGTAAATTTTGTATCGTAAGGCAATATCAGAAGGGCTTTGTCGGCCCAAAAATTTGGTAAGACAATCTAAGAAGAGCTTTATCGATCCAAGAATCAGTACGAAATAGCGCTCGAGAGTGATTCCTCTCAGCGAAACCTACAAAACAGGGCCTCCAGACAAAGAAGAAAGAAAGTAATTCTAATTAGATTTAGAGTAAAGAAACTTTACATGAGGTTATCGTATCTTTTTGTTTGAGTCTCCCTATTCATATGGCTCTCTCTCCTTATCTTATCTCATATGAGTGAGCTTCTTTTACCGACGGAAGGTGGAAGGTGGTGTTGAATCTTGGATTTTGATGATGAAATCAATTGATAAGTGTTTATAATTTAATATACGTTTTGAGTGACGCAGGATACTTCGATCAGGATGAGACAATTAAAGCAGGAAGAATTATGCTGGGCCGGGAGAAAATATGTCAAAAGATTGGACGTCGAACCGGTGGATCGATCGACGTATCGACAGAAGGCTTCAAGCTATAGATTCGGACATCGAGCCAATAAGAGAAAATATTACGCCAAAGATATCGAAGTTGCGGAGTCAACTGGCTGATTGGACAATAGGCCGCAAGAGAGGACGATGCGTCGAAGGATCGGACAAAGCATCGAAGGATCGGACGAAGCGTCGATGGACCAATGACATGTCGGACAACATGATTCGATACTTAATATTAATTGTCTAGATCGAAGTGTGTTTTACATGTGTAGGATTAACTACGATAGCAAGGCATGAAGCAAAATGAAGTCCCGGAGTCAAGGACATTATTTCGTTGGGAGATCGAGAGTTCGTCGGAAGTCTGGACGTTCGTCGGAAGTTTTATCGGAACCAGCCGAAAAGTCTCAGAGCTTGCCAGAGAAGCTCATCGGAACTCGCCAAGAAGATCGTCGTGAAGTCTAGGAGCTTGCCAGGAGTTCGCCGGAACATTGTCGAGAGATCATCGAAAGTTCACCAGAAGATCGCCGAAAGAAACTAGACTCACGGACTTGTTTAGCTTAGAATATGTCTTAGGAATCGTAGTTAGCACGTAATTGGGTTTAGATTTGGGCCAACCCAATTAGGGGCTAGTTGGGCCCATGTAAGGATTGTATTGGACTCAATGAGAGGCCCAAACAGTGACCCATGAGGTGGCACCGTTGTCGTGGCACAATCTCCGAGACTATGTCAAGCGGTGGTACCGCCCAAACACAGCCTCCGAGAGGTTGTAGGCGGTGGTACCACCAGTCTGGGCGGTAGTACCGCCCAGCACAGTCTCCAAGCAATGGTACTGCCCAGTGTTAGACTGACACTAGCGGTGGTACCGCCCGTGCTCGAGAAACTTGGGATGAGATGTTTTTAGGCTCCAAGTTTGAATCAACTTGAAGCCTATAAATACGCCTCTCATCCTTGGTTAAAGCACACAAGCACAGAGAGTTTAAAAGTGAAGAAACGCTGCTGCAATCTCTTTAGAAATTTCCTCCTCCACTCTAAGTTTAGAATTCTGTAGGAGAGGAGTGAGTGCTTGTAAAGGTTGTCTCTTAAACCCGTAAAAAAGAGAAAAGGGGTGTAAAAGGATAGTTGATCTTCGCCCATTGAAAGAAGATCAATAATGGATGCTAGTGGCATCAACGAAAGAGGAATCGGCAAAGTGGATGTAGGTCACGACGACCGAACCACTCTAAAATCTGGTTTACGTTTTATTCTTGCTATTTACCTTACTACAAACTGAATTCCTCCTTCACTACATTTTTGTACAATTTCAAGTTAACATCTTTATGAAATCGGTTTTATCGCAACGAAAAGTTTGTTGAAGATGTAATTTTTACCGTTATACTAATTCACCATTCTTCTTAGTGCCGACCCGTTCCTAATATGTGGAAGGGTTGCAATTCTCCTCCTATTCTCCTCGAAGATTTCATGACCCACTCTGCTTGCTACATCTGTTTTTTTTCTTAGAATAAAGCATCAGAATTGAGCTATGGTTAGGTGCTTCGATCTGTTTCGTAACTATTCATAGTGCAGGTCAACTTCAGGCACTGCACCTGGGGAGAGAAGGGAAAAGAAGGAAATACCAGTCCAAGAGAAGAAATTTTTTGATCCTGCCACCTATCCATTTACAAATATAAATTCTAGGAAGGAGAACGCCAACCTTCACAAACTGCTGTTCGTATGCTATCTTCCCATTCTTACCTTTCTCATGGCCTGTGATAAGTTTGACTGTGTCCCCTACCTTGACATGTATTTTAGGCAGCACAAGTAAGACTACTAAGCTGCAACAGCATAATTCACCAAGCCTAATGCTAATTGGTAATCTAATTCACTATAGTTCGTCAAGGAAATTTAGTATAGTCATCTTCAACATATAACATGAAGTGCAACTAATGCTAACCCTCATTATTATATTGCATGGCTGATCCATCTATTTAATCTGCTAGAAGAGAATGTAACACACTTAATGTTAAATGC